GTACCATCGATTTATATAAGGGCAATAATATATTCTCAGTCTTATTCTCTATCCCCTTTTTAATGATCCCTAACATCCTGTTTGCTTTTTTGACTGCCTCTGCACACTGCGCGGACATCTTCAGAGATTTAAAAAGAGATTTAAAAAAAAAAATCACAGAAGTTTGTAGGCAGTAAGCCTCAACTTTATATATGTAAAGTTTTTAATTGGGAAATTAATTATCTGGCAATTTCCCTATCAAACTCAGAAATACAAGTCCCCTCTCCAAAGATTTCCAAGAAGCAGCAGCATCTTCTGTGAAGACTATTTAAGCTAAAAAGACCCTTTAAGAATCTTGTAAGTTTTAAAAAGGCAATTTTGAGAAATTGAAGACTTTTTATATAAGAGTATTTGTACTTATTTGAAACAGAATTTCAACTCCTATTAAACCCTAATAAAACTACAGGAATATCTCAGAAAATGGGCTAAATACGCAAGTTAAAACTCTAACCTAAAATGTTCTGACAGCTCCCTCCACAAGAACAAAAGATAGTTATTACAGATTGTACATTCATGTTCTAAAGATGCTACCAGAACCACCTCATGAATGTCTTCAGTCACGGAACAGGTGACAGCAGTGAATATTCAATTTGAAGAATGCCCTAAAAGAGGTGTGTCTTGAACCTCTAGTCAAACTATGAAAGAAGAGTACATTTTTCTGAATTAAGCAAGCAGCATGAATCTTGCTCCCCTCTGTCAACTTCAATGGCAAACCTGTCACACTCATCTCCTCTCATCCTGTTCATCTCATCTCTTTAGAGCACGCAAACAGCAGCAAGATGACAAAGAACAAAGACGACCCCACACAACATTAGGAAGCAACAACCCTCCAGTACAGCACTGCTTCTGGAACACAACGAGATCACCATGATTTCACATCAAGGGTGAAAGATTGCAAATGCACGAGATCAGGGGTCTCAAACTCTCGGCCCGCGGCAACAAAAATGATTAGGGGTCTGGAGCACATGACTTATGAGGACAGGCTGAGGGAACTGGGATTGTTTAGTCTCCAGAAGAGAAGAATGAGGGGGGATTTGATAGCTGCTTTCAACTACCTGAAGGGGGGTTCCCAAAAAGGATGGAGCTCGGCTGTTCTCAGTGGTGGCAGATGACAGAACAAGGAGCAATGGTCTCAAGTTGCAGTGGGGGAGGTCTAGGTTGGATATTAGGAAACACTATTTCACTAGGAGGGTGGTGAAGCACTGGAATGCGTTACCTAGGGAGGTGGTGGAATCTCCTTCCTTGGAGGTTTTTAAGGCCCGGCTTGACAAAGCCCTGGCTGGGATGATTTAGTTGGGAATTGGTCCTGCTTTGAGCAGGGGGTTGACTAGATGACCTCCTGAGGTCCCTTCCAACCCTGATATTCTATGATTCTATGATCTGCGGCCTGCGAGCCTCCCCAATGTGGCACATGGGGCTCCAGCAGTTTTGGGGCCAGGTCTCTCTCTTGGCCTCACCTGTCCCCCCGGGCGCTCCCCCCCTCAGGGTCCCTGGCAGCACAGCGGAGCTGAGCAGCGTCTGCCTGCTCGCTCCAGTGGCTGACGGCCCCTCCCTGCAGCCCAGGGGTGGGGCAGGGCGGGGCTGTGCTGATCTACCTTCCCAGGGGACTCCCTAAGGAGAGGGGGCCATTGGGTTGTGACAGCACCCCCTCCCCACACTCCCCCTCCCGCCCCCAAACTCCCTCCCAGAGCCTGCACCCCATCCCCACACCCCCAACCCCCAAATTCGCTCCCAGAGCCTGCACCCCAGACCCCCTCCCCCACCCAAACTCCTTCCCAGAGCCCAACCTCTCACCCCTTCTGCACCCAAACTCCCTCCCAGAGCCTGCACCCTAATCCCCTATCCCAGACCTCCTCCCCCACCCAAACTCCGTTCCAGAGCCTTAGGCAGGTAGGGGGAGAGTTTTTGGGGGGCAGATTCTGGGTGGCATGAGTGACATTGGCCCGCTGGGAGGATTTGAGGACTGGCACTGGCCCTAAGGTAAATTAAGTTTGAGATCCCTGCACTAGATTTAATTTTTTCTTGTCATGATTTTAAATGGGATATTGAAAAGCTATTCTACTTTATGATAGTAATGGCTTCTCCTGTTAAACACCAAAATGGTTTAGACTATATATTTCCATAGGGGAGACATATGCTAACCTGGATAAACCGAAAGAAGCAGTGGATTTAATTTGAATATTAGAATTCTTAATATGCCTGTCTCAAGAGAGCTCCTTGAATAACTTCTAATTTAAACACCTTCTTTGCTTTCACAAGACTTCATTAAGATCACTCTCTTTATGTTATCTTTAAATAAAACAAAAAAGCACTCACCTACCCATAAACAAAAATTCATTTGCCCATCTATAAAACACAACTCACTATTAGTGTTGAAAATATACTTTGGTCTTAACTTATCTAGATAAGAGTGCCCCATCAGGGACAGGCCCACTCTCAAAGGTGCAATCTCGGTTAAAAATTTGCCACAGAGAAACATATAAAGAAGATTGTAGCTGCAGTAACCGCTGTACATTATTTGTTTTTTGTTCTGTTTTTAATTTTTTTCCTTTCTTTAATACAGTCATAAATAATAATAGTGATTATTTTTAATCGTGGTGTTCCCTAAACCATGGCAAACAACCCCAGGTGACTAAGATAATGGGAGTCACATCCCAGAATGGATATTAAGAGAAGCAATTTGATTTGGCCTACCATTTCTTGTTTATTGAGACTACAGATTTTAGTAATTTGCGGGATAAAATTAGTTGGTGCTCAATATCTTAACACCACTTCTTATCCTACAAGTTAATAAGCATGAAAAATTAAATTGCAAGTTGGGTAAAGGAATTAAAAAGAAGCTATACATGTAGCCTAAAGACAAGTGTCTACCACATTAGCATTAATGAAAAAGTAGTATTAAAGAAAGTAACATTCAGATCAATTATTTAAAACATTTACACAAGTGATATCCACTAAGAATAACCAGTTATTGATTTATGAAAAGATAACATTTTACAGAAAATTCTTCAGGTAATATTTACCTTGCAAATAAGCACTGAACTTTAGAGAGAGAGAAAACTCATGGAAGAATCTAGGTCGGGGTGAGCAAACTACGGCCCGGGGGCCACATCTGGCCCTCCAGGCACTTTAATCCAGACCTTGAGCTCCCGCAAGCCCCGCTCTGTGAGGCTCCCGGAAGCAGTGGCATGTCCCCCCTCTGGCTCCTATGCGTAGGGGCAGCCAGGAGGCTCCACATGCTGCCCACACCCCAAGCAATGCCCTCGCAGCTCCCATTGGCATGGAACTGCAGCCAATGGGAGCTGCAGGGGCAATGCCTGCAGACACCTTTCCCCCAGTTACGGCTCCTATCCAAGGAGCTGCAAGGGAGTGGTGTGGAGCTACTAATCCAGCTGCGTGTCAACATGGAATTGTTAGATGAACATATCTGCCAGGTTTAGGGCATCTTTGTGCTAGCAAGCAGCACAAGACCACAGTGCAACAGAGAATTGAGTTCAATGTCTTGAAAACGTTTAACAAGTTGGGGGGCGGGGGGGGAATCAACTCTTAGTCATACTATTATTTGCATCAAGATGACACATATAAGAAAAATCTGTTTACATATAGTAGTATGGGCGGGAGGGGGCGGGAAATAGGAATTTTCTGCATCTGCATGCCCGCTACACTGGTTGAAAATTGCAATACAAGTTTCCACCCACCCTGCAGCTCTGTGACGGAGATCTGTTTAATCTGATGATTAATGGCTAGGCACCTCAGCTGTGCAGTGTAAACAGCAATGTCTTCTATAAAAGTGATTTTAGAAAAGTGGGTAACACTAAAGCCTTTATCAGCAAACCTGGACAGAAAGGGGCAAGGTATGTCTAGTGTGGAATTTTTAGATAAATTACAAACAAACATTCTCATTCTGTGGGTTCAAATCACACACTTTAATATTAAAGAAAAAAATATAAGAATGCCACATACATCACCACATAACAGGACCAAATTCTGCAGCTGCCACCCCTAAATTCCATGACATTGTTACATTATTTTACCATAATGAAATATCTTTCGTTTCCATCCTTATGCTCCCATGTCTCACAGCTGAAAATCATTTTTGTCAAATTAGTTGATCATTTCCAGGGACAGTTTATTTCACAATGCCAGGGGTCGGCAACGTTTGGCACGCGGCTCGCCAGGGTAAGCACCCTAGCGGGCCGGGCCAGTTTATTTACCTGCTGACGCGGCAGGTTGGGCCCATCGCGGCCCCCACTCGCCGTGGTTCGCCGTCCCGGCGCAGGCGAGGGATGTGCTGGCCGTGGCTTCCCGCCACCCCTATTGGCCCGGGACGGCGAACCGCGGCCAGTGGGGGCTGCGATCGGCCGAACCTGCCGCGTCAGCAGGTAAATAAACTGGCACGGCAGGCCAGGGTGCTTAGGCTGGCGAGCCACGTGCCAAACGTTGCCGACCCCTGCACTATGCCCTCTGGACAGCCTACATCCACACTCTCCTGGCCTCTGCTCCCAAAATATTCTCTAGTTACCCCCAGCTCAGATCTTTCTTCCCTCCTGTGTACCAGGGAAGAAAGAAACTTCTAGCCAGCTTCTGTGGCTCATCTCACCAGCTCCCCCTGGTCCGCAGCTCCATTGAACAGTGCAGGGAATATGCAGTGTAATTCAATTAACCCCTCCTTGTGAGGAAAGCTGGAGAGCAAGAAGTAGCTGCAATCAAGAAGGAAAAACAATGTAAAAAACCCCAAAACAACACCTGGGCACTTGGCTGATACAAAATGGTAAATTCCATAGCAAGAATATGATCTCTTCCATTATTGTTTGAAGTGTTGTTGTAGCCATGTTGGTCCCAGGAATAGTAATGCCAGCCTGTAGTTTATAGCGACAAGCTGTCTTTTGAGACCAGCATTCTCATGGAGAATGTTAAGTGTAATGAGCTCTGCAAGATTCCAGTGTGATGGTCCTCCTTGCTGGTTTCTCAATTATATATTGACTGACTCAAAGATCCTTTTTGGCCAACCACGAGTGATTAAAAAAATAATAATAATAATAATAATAATAATAATGTTCTTAAGAATTTGAGGAGGTTTGCTTGTAGCAAAGTTTGCCTGAGTAGGGTGGTGGTGCTAGAGATAGTACAACTGCCACCACCAAGTGCTGAAAAATACCAGCAGAGCTCTTTGAAGAAACCATTTTACCCTATAATGTGACTTCCCATATAAACAAAAACAGAGCTCCATCCAGACAGGGACTCAAGGAGGGCTGAAAGTGCCTCCAGTGTTTCGGATTCTTTTATGCAAGCTTGTCTACTATGTTGGGCCTACAGCTTTGGGAATAAGGAGGGGTTGCTGTAAGCTGTAATGCACAGATCCCCCTTAGGTTGGAAGGAAAATAGGCAACATAAACAAAATCTGCCCACTGAATCAAGGGAAAAGACTTTATCAAAAGGTAAATTAGCAAAGTTTTGAGGTCTACTTTGCTATGCAAATTAGTAGAGCAGGAGATTTGGAGGCCACCTTTCAGTGTTGTTAGGAAGCAGAAGAATACAGGGCTTTATGAAAGACAAAAGCCAAGCCCTTCCCTTCCTCACATTGACAGGTCTGGCTCCTACCTCCTAGCTTGCAGAAGAAAGAAAACACACTGCCCAAAATGGCAAAACTGAACATGAAGAACATTTCCTCTTGCTATTTATGTATTAACTCTGATGTCTGTATCATAGCTCCCTGACAACTATTAACATTTACTGAAGTATAATATACTAGTGGCTTTCTCGGGCTGTGGGATTATACTTTGTTTACCACTGACTTTTAGAAGTAGTTCAACTGTTGACCCTAAACCAAAATATTCGCAAAAGAAGTTGCTGGTGAAATCCATTATGGGAAGGAAAAAAATAATAAAAGAGAGCAAATCGTGTTTTTTTTTTTTAAGACGGATTAAAAACTGGGGAGCTGGTCCAATCTTTGCAGCTATAGTACTATCACACACCTGATGAATGTTTGAGTTTAGGAGCTTACCTTAGGTGGCCACTTCTTGCAGAAAAAATAAATAAATGTAGTAAAGCGTACTCATTTATGTTGTTGCTAAATTGATGTGCCAGTTTCTTGGGCTACTAATGGATCCATTCATGTTTATTTTCTTGTCAGAAACACTCACACCACCAAGAAGCTGCTGGTGGTGGTGTTTTTGTGTGTTTGTTTTTTGCAGAAGGTTGCAGATCCCATCCTATTACTCCTGACTCATCTGAAACTGCTGCATTCCAAACTAGCTGAACAATGAAAGCAACAGTCCAAGGTCACATTTTTCACCAATGAAAGCTAAGACTGTGTAGGAAAATAAGTTCTTACCAGGTCACCTTGAACAAATTAAGGTAGTAATTAACAACCCAACCACAAAGTCAAAATCTGCTCCCAATTGTTATGTATTTTAGAAACTGTTAACCTGGGCATTCTGTCTAGTCTCAGTTTGCGGGTATAATAATATGCCACTGGCTATCAGCTTTTTACCAGTTCTCTCAAATGCAGACCTCACCGTGGTTATCTATGTCTTTGTCACCTGCAGACGGAATTACAATGCATATTCTGTGAATATTTGAAAACTTCAGCTAGAGAGAAGTGCATCTGTCCATATGCTTACCTATCTAGACATTTTTCACCAGTGCTCTGTAAATTACATTGGCTTTCATTTCTAGGTGCAACACAAGAATTAACTTAAGCCCTACGTGGTTTGTATCACTTGTTTCCAAAGACTGTTCACCCTTTGTTATACCTGCAAGCTGAGACTAGACAAAATGCTCAAGTTAACAGTTCCTAGATTTGTACATCAGGAAACTGGTGCTAGAGTATTGTCAATAGAGAGGCTGTTGGAAAACTGTGTAATGAATTGTACTAGTCATACACATAACCCAACCCGTTAATATATTAAACAATGTTAGATAAATTATTATCTATATTATAGGAAGATATAAAGGACTTTTTTTGTTCTTGTACATGTCCCTGCTGATGCAGAATTTCAAAATTTAGCTTAAAAATTATTGTGTAAACCATGACAACTGGTTTGTGTGTCTTACTCTGTAAAACCCTGGTCTATATAAATAGCAGGTGAAACCATCACAAGAGAACTGTTAACTTCAGGTTCCCCCACAAAACAAGTTAACATGCAAAAACCCAAGGCCACAAAAACAGACCAGTAAGATCAAAAACAATTTGAAGGTACCAGTGGGGTTGACAGCAAAGAATAAATCACAGAAGTGAATTTTAGCAAGGTAAGCAAAAATATATTAGTTTAGGTTAATTATTGTGATTTATGCATACAAATGTTTAGTTGGGCTTTAGAATGGATAGGTATGAGGCAAAGTTATGGAACAGGGTATAAAAGATAATGATTGAAAACAAGCATGGAGAAGAGACAGGGGAAGAACACAGCAGACACCAGAGATTTGAAAAAAGTCACCCTGTCCCCAGGAAAGGTAACTTCTCTTGCCTTATCTGTTTTTGAATGTATATGTAACTCATAGGTGCTAACAGCATTGTCTTAAAATGTACAAAATAAAGGCTACTAGAAACGGCTTAAAGCTAAAGGGGAGTGGATCTCATTTGCCTTCCAACAAGCCCTGATTCTGGAATTAGTTTGCCTCCTTAGCTCAGGGTCCAAATCTGTGGATCTTCAGGACACACCCTTGCAGGATCCCAGAGCTTGGGCTCCAGCCTGAACCCAAACACAGCAATGTTTCAACCATAGCCCTGTAAACCTGACTCAGCTGACGTGGACCAGTGTTTTTAATCCCTGCATAGACATATCTTGAAAGCCTATTTGTCTAGAGTGAGTTTGACTGGGTAGGAAGTATTTTAGTGGACACTGTCTTAATTTATATTTAATGACTATTCTAATTTATATGTGAATCTAGTACATTGAGTTAGGTTCATTCTATGAACTGAGATAAATATTGAGACTGGAATGTTTAGTGCAGCATACTTTCTCCCATGAGTCACTTTATGCATGGAAGAAACCAATCTCTAAAGCCACTGTTCTGATCTCCTATAAATACACCTCTACTCCAATATAACGCTGTCCTCGGGAGCCAAAAAAATCTTACCGCGTTATAGGTGAAACCGCGTTATATCGAACTTGCTTTGATCCACCGGAGTGTGCAGCCCCGCCCCCCCGGAGCGCTGCTTTACCGCATTATATCTGAATTCGTGTTATATCGGGTCGCGTAATATCGGGGTAGAGGCGTACCTCAAAAACCATTTCTATCTTGATGCCTATGGTAAAATGCCAGCTGATAATGGCTAGTAAGGACAACTAATATTTAAAGATCATTCTAACTGTTAATTGCTCAGTTTGGAACATGTGTTCACACAGGCTATCACTGTTAGTCTTGCCATCAACTTCATAATCTCCTCCATTTGTTTTAAATTAGACTAATTCTTTTGGGCAGGGGATGTGTCTTGCTATGTGATTACACAGTGCTTGGAGGGGGCGGGACTGGGGCCTCTTGGGCTGCAATAATACAAACAATAGTAATGAAAATCCATATTTAGAAAAACATCCTTATGAGGGCATATACTTTAAAAAGTGTGTGTGCAGTTGTTTGCATCTGCAAACTGGATAGAGACCTGGTCCTATATGTCTTCACACGTTAGAATACAAAGCCATGTCTATATTAGGAATGTTTTCCAGTATAGCTATATCAATATACTATACTGCCAAAGTGTTTCTATTGTGGAAACAACTTTACCAGCAAAACTGTGCTTTTGCTGATATAGCTTAATCCAGCCATTTTACATCCCTGAATGAAATAAGCTATACCAGTAAAAGTGCAGTTTTGAGGATATAAATGTGTCTATACTAGGGGCTTTTGCTGACACAGCGGTCAGTCAGATATCACACCTCTTCATACCCCTTACTGCTATAGCTGTGCCAACAGAAGTTTGTAATGTAGACATGGTCTTTGTCAACCTCTAATCAAGGAGATTAGGAGGAAGTTTACCATATGGGCAGGTCATTACCTAATTGCCCACTTTGAGGGTTACTTTGCAACTTCCTCTAAAGTGTCTGGTACCAGCCACTGTTGGAGACAGGATACTGGACTACACAGACCACTAGCAATTCCCATATTCCTATAAATTTTCCAAAGTCCTTCTAAATAAAGAACTAAATGCAAAGAGTGGTTATAAACATATTCCTAACTCAGTGGCTGTGTCTTTTCTGATTTAATGAGATCACTTCATGACAGAATGTTTTGCAGCTTCCCTTATGAAAAATGACAGCAGAGGTTCCATTTTTGAAGTTATACTGGCATTTACAAGTAGATGTGTCACAGTGGGTTAAGTTAAGGCAAAGTCAGAAAAAAAAATGAAGAGTTTTAATGGAGAATGAAAAAAAGTTTTTAAAAATTGCAATGCCTTGGGAAACCATGAATTGAATAACCTTCTGCTGCTCAAGCAGATGTCCACAAAGGTTAACTCAAAACATGTGAAGGGTTACAGAAATGTATGAAACATTAAGTGTTTAAACTGTAAGGGAAAAAATAGAATATTGCTAAAAAGTTTACTTAGTTCTTTCATAATATTCCCTCTTCCCCCAAATATTTTACTGGCAGCAAAATTAAAAGACTTTTTCACCATTCCTAAACTGTATCTTTTAGCACATAGTGGTCTTTGTGTTTATTATATAACAGGTTTTCCTCCTTCACACATTGCTCCCAAATC